TAACAGACATAGAAAAAAATATATATATAAATATATGTATGTATGTATGTCTGATATTTAACTTTATTGCTAATATCGGCCAATACCGATACTATGCTTCTAATATCGTGCATCCCTAGTTTGTACTTGTGTAATCATTAATTTATCAACTGCCCGATAGTTCAAAGTGATTGTTTTAGCCACATTGTTCAAGTTACATTATGCTAAATTGCGTTGTCATCAAAAACATGCAGAACATGCATCACGTCACACTTGGAAAAGTCATTCATTATTCATATCATGTCAACGTTGAAAGAAAAGGTCATTCTGAATGACCCCAGAGAAGGAACGGCCCTTTATCATCTTTTACCGAGACTTTCCTCTACCTTATAGCTCTCCCTGTCCTGCTTGTGCCCCACTCTTTTCATTCCATTGGTTTGCTGCATGACTTTAATAGCCTCTCCTTCTCCTCTATTGCCATTTCCTTCTCCTTATAGCAAATCCCAGTCTCTTACCAATACCTTCAACATTCCAGAAACCCCAGCGCCACGAGCCAGCCTTAGCCAGGACGAGGTCAAGGCTGAAACCATACGCAATCTACGCAAATCTTTTGCCAGTCTCTTCTCAGAGTGAGATGGCAGAAGATCCTCCCATCACCCCTTATCCTCCTCCTCCTACAGAGAGAAAAATGGAGAAGCAAACTGAAGGGCAGATCCCTTCTCCCCACCAAGCAAGGACCAACAGGAGCTCCAAATTATGAGACTGATAAGAAAGTGTACACACTTGACTCCCACTGCCCAAACAGCTTAAATCTATTGGTTGTAACTAAATGTAGATGACAGCCAGGTACAGATGTTTGAAATATTTCTTGCTTCAAGCTTAAGGGAATCATTTCCTCAAACTGCTCAAAAACCTTAATGTGCATGCAACACCCTTACACTCAAATAACAAAATAATACTTAAAAAAACCCTGCTCCCTCTTGTTTGTTAGTGCTGTAAATGTATTGTGGTATTTATGGTTAAAAATTTAAGGACTGTACAAAAGTTAATTGGATGTGGCGGATTACCTGTTTCGTTCTAATGGACACAGAATCAAACCAACATCTCATGCGAACCTTGAATCATAAAGTAGCAACATGTTTTTCTATTAAATTTGAATCTTGTTTCCTCAAATTAAAATGTGAAGCAGAAGTGCAGACGTTTTGAACAGAGTTTCCAAGAAAACGTATGAACGTTTATTCTCTGAGCTGTCGTAGATCGCTGTTTGAACGACCTCAGCTTGGAGAAATAGTTTCATTTGTGACCAGGTGGACAGTTTAATTGTCGTTCTGAGCAAGTCAAAGTGGATCGCTTTAAATGACTCCAATCTCAAACATGCAAACAACATTTTTACAAGCCTTTATATAGTTATCAATGTCACATTGCACAGTTATTTACATAAAAATGTGTGGTTATTTGTAAATGGAAATAGCATTAGCACTTTCTTTACAGCCGGAGACAACTCCAGTAAGAATTTTAGAAATCGGACTTGTTTTGAGATGGCTGTCCTCTTGGCTCTATCCAAGCTAGATTTGAGCTTGTTAATCTGGTCAGAGCTAATCTCTATTTCTCCAGACTGATCTATCTACGACAGGTAAGATATTAAGTGTTCATAATCGTTCTGCACATGTAGAATTAGACCAAGCAAAAATCCAATAAAACAAAAACAAGGAATTGCTCTATGAACGAAGACGTTTTGGAGAAGTGAAATTACCAACACCTTCATCTCACCCAGTGGTTTTTGTACAGTTCACTTAGCCTCCCACAGTGTTAGCAAACGCTAGTCACAGTGATGTCTCCTGCATGTCAAAAGGAGGGAGCAATTGTTGTTTGCAACATTTCACTTTGGCGCTGGGATCTGTGTCGTACGCGTCGCTGAATTAGTTCGTAAAGTAGCTTCGTAGCTGTGAGTAAGTTGTCGCGTTCACTTCGCTTCTCTTTCTTTTGCCACACAACAAAAAACAGCACGCCTTGGACAGACAAGGTCAAATCAAATGGAGCCGTCTCGGGGATGTCCACTTGACTGTGACACTTGTGTGGCTCAAGGTCTTCCATTTTAGTCGTGCTGTAAATTGTTCACAAATGAAGATGGACAAGCATGCGTCTTTGTGCGGTCAAATCTTGCTATTATTTCAGATACTTTTGCACACATAAGCAACAAAATCCTAATTGAATGCAACGTCATGAGCTGACGTATGAAACGCACATTTTTAGGTTTCTGTTTTTTTTTCAGCTGACAAAGCTGCTTCTCAGTGTTCCAGTTCTGAGCTATGTTGGTGACAGTTGTGCGTGCGTACACATGAAAACAGGATTGGCAACTCTTCAGGTAAAGTTAGTTAAAAATAGCAGTCTTTAAAGCAACATGAGGTAAAGTTCTGACTGGAGGTCAGCTATTGAATTAAATGGATGTACAATAAATTATTAAAAGATGTCAGACTGATTGTATTCAGCGGTAGTCCCCGGACTTCTGCGTTCCACTTCCAGTTTTAAGTCTGTTTCATTTGGTTTGCTGCTTCCAGAAACTTTACGGTTCTTGCTTTTTAACGATGGCCATGATTTAAAGCACACTCAGCCAAGGAATGTGGCATTTATAAGACTTATCTGTTCAACAAGAGAAGAAGCAATGAGTTGCATAAACATGAGCAGCAACTCAGTAGTGACTTATAACAACCCATTTTGTGCACATATGAAGTTTTCTTTGATCAATATTGAAATTCAAGTCCATTTACAGACTCTGAACATGTCTTCCAGACGGAGCTAATTGCGTTAAAATACTGAACTAGTGCGGCAATATTCTGCTTTTTAGAGAAAATCTGAGTAGTTGAAAATCTATGGAAGTCCTGGTTCCCCTGCAGATTCTCCACGCTGCCTGCTTCTCAGTCTGTGTAGCTTCAGTGACCCCTCGTGATCAATGGTGCTTAAACGTGTGGATGTTCTGTGACTGTTCAAGTAGATATGTTGTACAGAGCTCTGAGTGATGCAGACTGTCACCTCTCCCCCTGCTGCTATTTGTGGTTGTTAATATTAGGTGTGTGTGTGTTGCTCTTTTTTGCATCAAAAATGTTTGGATTGTGTGTTTTAATTAGTTTTGCACCATTATTCTACAAGCTGCGCTGTCTGGAGCTTGCAAGTTTATGCATTAGTGATTCAGGGTTTCATTTTTAAAACTTTACACCAACTCAGAGTACTGCAGTACAGTTTTACTGTTGAAATAAGTAGTCAAAGCAATGTTTCTTCCACTGTGCGCTGCAGGAAAAAGAACCATTACGTTTAGCGTTGATGGTATGACGGAAAAAAGTCAATGGAATCAATGAAGTGGGACAGCAATGCAAAGAAGCAGATTTACATTTACAGTTTATTTTACTTTTTAAAGGTTTCAATCATTTATGGTGCATACTTTTGACTGTGAATGTACATTTGTTCTTCTCTTCTTTTTATTGTTTTTCAATTGCACAGTATAATCATTGTAAAAAAAAAATATATATATATATGGAATCATAAAAAATTTGTGAATGAGTGAAAACTGTCAGTCAATGCCTGCCATATTTAAATATGCACACCATAAATGTAAGTGCAAAAATCAGAGGGTTTTGTTGATCAAAAATAAGGTGATGCATAATCAAATTCATGGTGGATTATTGAAATAAATGTAAAAAGAAAATAGATGTTATATGCAATGTAGCTCTATCATGTGGAAATGAGTGTTATTGAACATGAACATGTCTAATAAAGTCTATGCCCAACAAAAAAAGGTTACGTGTGCACTGTTAACTGCATTTCTCCTCCTGATGTGTCTCTCTTTTCTGTTTGCAGAGTCCTTAGGTTGTGGCTCAAATATACAGAATCAGTTCAACTTTATTCATAACACGGATGTAAAGCAACAGGAGTTAACCAAAATGTGTTCAAAGTCGAGCCAAAGACAACAACAACACGAAAATCTAGTAAAAATAGAAAAAGTATCAGCCATAACTTATAAAACATCCTGAGATGAAAATAATTGGAAACAAGTAAAACTGCACTTTCTTCAAAAAGTTGTTCATGCTGAGGGAGCTGAAAGACTTTGAATAAATGTGCTGAAGAAATTAAAACTGAGCAGAATACTAGCTAAAATTCTTGCTAAAAGTCAGAAGTAACAAAACACTTGTCTAAAACTAAATGCAGTATAACTTAAAGCTTAAAATATTAAAAGTCTAGGTGTTAAAACTAGCAAAAGTTTTCTAAAATCTAAAATAGCTAAATGCATGCAAATAGCTGAAAGCAGATAGCTAAAACACTAGCTAAAATGTAAAATGAGTAAAATTCCATCTACAAGCTAAAAGTAGCAAAATGCAATTTAAAATATAAAATAAACTGTTATTTTAAAGTTAATTTGAGCAAAACTCTGGATAAAAATAGGAATTTGCCAGACTAAAGATATAAGTAACAAAAAGCTAGCTTAAAGTAGTAAAACAGTAGCTAAAAGTTGCAAAAGGCTAGCAAAAGTAGCTAAATGTTAGCTAAAATTCAAAAGTAGCACAATAAGACAGAACAGAAAGTACTCTGAAGGAAAATAACTTAAAAAATATATCAATAAATATTTTGAAAAGTGTAAAAGTTACAGATACATCTTTATAGTATGTGCAAAGTACAAGTTATGGTAAAGAATAAAGAGAAACAGGACCACTATAGTGTGTAGGCTGAATCAGCATTAAAATCTATTAAAGATAGATTTAAGCATAATTTTGAGACATTGGAGTGTTTTGGCATTGGAAAAATATACTCTAATGTGTTTTTTTTACGAATATTATGTGCAGATCTTTGAGTTTTCAAATTTCTGTTGCAGCCGTGCTGCTTGTTCTGAGCAGAACAGATTTTCTTTCGTCAGCGGTCCCTCTCTGACCACAAGGTGGTGCAGACCAACAGCCTCTCAGCATCCAACCTCCTATATTTTGTTTACATCATTTTACATGGCTGGAAGTTGATTTTCCTAATTTGTGAAATCTTATTAAAACAATAAGGGTTGTTTTTTTTAAATTAGAAAAAGCTGTATTTACAGTGCTGCATAGTTTTAGTAAAAATGTATGTTGTGAAAAGTTCATTTTAATGAAACTGACTCTTTTCAAACTAAAATTACACAAATGTGTTGAAAATCACACAAAACAATACATGTCTGCACATCAGGTAAGTATAACTAAAAATCCACAAATTTACACTCAACAGTTCCATTTTTGGTGAAAGAGATTCAGTTTTAGCTTCTCATATATTGCCGGTTTCCACTGACTGAAGCCACTACGCTCTGAGGTGTCTTCTCTTCTTTAACACCGTGCATACAAATTACACAATCAGTGGAAACCTACATTTAGTCATACAACTGTGTGGCTCCACTCTGCACCACCTGACTGCTGACAGCCTGACTAATTGTCTGACAATAAACCACACCCACCCCATACAGGTGATCATCAAAACACCTCATTTTACACTGCTACTGTCAAAATTAATAAATCTGATATTTTAATCATTTTATCATTACAAAAATAAACTGAAGATCACACATATCTTGATCATTTTAAATGAATCTCAGTGTATCACCTATGAACTCAAAACTATTTGTTAACCATTATAAACTGCATTTAGTTCTCCAACATATATTTAAACTCTTTTATTGGAGTTTTAAAACTTGAAAATCAACAGCTCCCGCTGTGAGAGGTTAACACCCCCACCCACACCCCCAACTCCAGAACGATGTATTTTATTGCCCTGTTTTGTATGAATCATAGAGCTGAAACAAATGCATTAAAATGGATTATTTCACTTTGGCTCATCAGTCATTAAACACCCAGACTAAATATTTTCGCTCGTAGATTTTATGTGTTGTGCAGAAGGTTCAATTTTAATTACAGAACAGATTTGTTATTTATTGCAGAAAATAGTGTCTAATACACAAAATGTTGGTTTTTATTCCAGACACAATGAAAAGGCCAGTGTGTTTTTTTAACTCTTTCTGCTTGCCTGCATCTTTTTTATTGTTCTCACAAATTGCAGGTTTGGTCAGAGGAGGAAAGATGCTCATCTGATCGCGAAAACATGTAGTCATTTTTATATTGGATGCAGCTTTCCCTCTGTCCAATAACACCACCAAAGGAAAGACTTTAATATCTTGCTGGAAGGCCGCAGGCTGTGTGTGGACTGTTTGTCACCACCTGGAAACACCCATTCACAATAAAAGCAAAACAACTTGAGTAATGATTTTCTTCCGCACGGTTATATAACTGACTTTTTGTGTTCTCCTACTGATACAACTTTCATGACTTTGATGCTTGCAAATAAAAGATTCACAGATATTGCCAGTAATGGTTTTGACAAATGAGATGGGAAAAAGAGGGGGGGAGTGGTGTGGCATCACGACTTTTTCCTCTGAGCCGGGATATTTCTAGAGCTGACCCATTTACAGAGAAGCTGCAAGCACAGGTACATCAGCTGCAACCAGAATGTGTAGCTGCACGTTTTAAGATCCCATTAATGCCTAAACGGAAGCTGGTGTCAAAACTGATTTGCACATGTAATTTGATGGGTGGCCACTCCAATGGGGGAGGCGGGTGGGGTGGGGTGGGGGTGGAGTGGTTCATAGCAGTGCTTTTAAATCATCGTCATGGGTTTTATTCGAATTCTGAAGACGAATAACGAGCTGTGCCAGCCACTCTTTCTGAGAGGTTAAAGAATAGCTGATAATCCCAGCTCTCAAATGGTTGAGGAACAGAGGTTGTTCCAACTATTATACACGACACACAGCCCTGCACAATTAGTGCAACCCAGTACTGCTTTGCATTGTGCTGCCATGAGCTGCAGAGAGAATGATATCCATATTTAGAAGGAGCTCATTGATTCTTCCTAACTGAGGCACAAAGGATTTGTTGTCTGTCTTGAACAGTGGGACCTCAAAGACAACCCCTGTATTACAAAACCTCCTGCTGACCCTGAGCAGTGCTTGAAAAATCCCCCCATAAGAGCTGGAGCTGTTCGCTCCAAATGGAACGTCGCTGCCCATTTCTGTGTTGTTACATAACAATATCTTAGTGACAGTGCAACCACCAGAAATAATTCCCATCACCACGAGCTCTCCGAGAGAACTGAGCCCCTGCTGAGAAGCTCAGTCCCTCGTTCCATGTGTGTTCCCCTTCATGAACTTGCACACATGACTGGGTGGACGCTTCAGCCAAAATGGCAGGTGATGGAGGATGTAATAAAGATTTAAT